GTACTTTCAGCATTCTCCGCCAGCACCACAATTCAAAAGCATCAACTCTTCTTCGGTCTTCCTTATTCATTGTCCAGCTCTCACATGCATACCAGGTGATTGGAAATATCATGGCTTGTGTCAGGCGCACCTTAGTCCTCAATGAGATAGCCTTGCATATATATATATGTAATCTCATTTTTTCTTTTCAAATCACCTTCATCCATCCGCATTTTATTGTCTTTTGTCAAATACACACTTGGAAAGCATTATTAGTGGATGTGCCCTCCATCTATTAATGAGAAAGAATGACTGTTGAATTTATCTGGAGTAGAAAGGCAAGATTTCTAATCCACCCATCATCTTTACTTAGAAATACCTGGACAAAAACATTTTAACATTTTTAAACTCAGTACATTTAATTTCATAATTCGAGTAATCTTCCTTTTTTGTTTTGGCTAGAAATAAGAAACAGCATCAGTCTGAAAAGATCATTAGAATTCGGAATATAGTCTGACTAAAGGAGTTTCCCCCTTCCTCCCAAACTCCTACGTGACACTCCTTAGCTCCCTCCTCTAATCCTCTGATCTCTGTTCTAAGGAGTTATCTCTAACTTACTTCACATTTTATTTTTCATCTTGCTTATTGCTCTCTCTTCTCTCCTCTACACCTAGAATGAAAGCTCCATATATATACACACACAGGGAGTTCACTTACAGCAGCCAGACAGAAGGTAGAGTATTGGGCACAGGTGCAGGTAGGTTAAGAGGAACAGAAATTCAGATTGTAACCTGAAGTTTACCAAAAGTATCATCAAACAAGTAAGGCCTGCAACACTAGAGTTCAAATAGTGGGGTAGCTAAAGAAATTAGGGGAAGGTTTAAATTGAGTAGGGAAACATCATATTACAGGTTTAGTTGTAAAAATCAAACCCAGCAACCAAGAGGAGTGTGCCTAGGGCACATAACCATTTTAATTCTGTCTGATGATGTCTACTCTATTTCATCCTGATTTGCAAATTAACCAACTAAAATCCTGTTGTTGTTGTTGTTGTTGTTGTTGTTGTTATGTGCCATCGAGTCGGCCCCAACTCATAGCGACCCCTCCTTGGGTTTCCGAGGCACTATCACTACGGAAGTAGGATTGCCCAACCTTCCTTCCGAGGAATGGCTGGTGGGTTTGAACCGCCAACTGTCTGGTTAGCAGGCAAGTGTCTTAGCCACTATACTACCAGAGCTCCCAAAATCCTAATACTGTCATTATCAGGAAACACAAAAGTAATCCTAACATCCTCTGATTCCTAGGCACTTAAGAAATGAAGAAAGGCTGTTTTGCAGGATGGATAAAAATGAAATTTTTTTGCATTGTGTTTGCCTCACATAGATAATGGAGCTCTCACTTAAAAAAAAATTGATATCAATATTTTTGTTGCTTATTCTTATTAATTTGAATTTGCAGAGTTGGTGTTCCAAAATGATAGCAGTTTTGGGGGGCTAAAATAAGGAAATAAGTTGAATATTTTCCCTTTTGGTTCATATATAATCCTTTCATTTTCTAATTTTTAGAAAATCTGGAAAAGGAATCCAGAGAAAAAGAGGAAAAAATAAATAAGTTAAAGCTAGTTGCTGTGAAAGCAAAGAAAGAACTTGATTCTAGCAGAAAAGAGGTAAGATGACTTAGAATGAGAATCTGAAGCTTACATTTCAGAGGATCAAAGTTTCTCTATCTGTGAAAAACTCTTAACTTCAGTGTATATTTAAAATAGACCCAGACTCTAAGGGAGGAACTTGAATGTGTTCGATCAGAAAAGGATCACTTGTCTACTTCCATGAGGGATTTCATTCAAGGAGCAGAAAGCTATAAGGTAAAAAGAGATATTTTAATTATTAACAAGTTATAACTTGTTATAGAAGTTCTTAACTTCTAAATGAAGAAATTTACTGGAAATGTAAAACTCTTGCCTATAAAACAATCACCTTGTATTTTTAGTGAATCTTTGGGTGTATATACTCATGCATGCACTTAATAAAATTATTAATAAAAAGAGTGGCCATTATTACTGTTGGTTAATACTGTTCTGGCCAAGTGAGTAAACTTAATGCTTAAACAAGAGGCCTATTGGGAAGGTAAAAACATTATTATTTGGAAGTAATATGCTTGTGTATAGAGATAATGTAAGAATCTGTTGTGAGAACTAAGGGAGTATAACAGAATCACTAAATGCAAGATATATATTACATTCTTCAGTTATTCACTCAGGAAATATTTACACAAATACTAGTGAGACATGAGGCCACTAAGTTTCTGTGGTCTTAGGACTTAAGTTCCAGTGGCATGTACATATACATACTATATGGAAAAATAGAGTACGCAATCATCAAATGGGATTCAATAGAAAAAAATCTCATAGTAGCCAAAAATGCAATTTAAGGAAAAACTTTAATGAGTGGCATAGCGCCTGAGGCATTTGACTGCTGTCTAGAAGGCAGACGGTTCAAACCCACCAGCCACTCCTCGGAAGGAAGATTGGGCAATTTACTTCTGTAGAGATAGTGCCTCGGAAACCCAAGGAGGGGTCGCTATAAGTCAAATCAACTCAGTGGCAGTGAGTTTGGTTTGTTTTGGAATGAAAAAAGTACAAAACTTACATAGAATGATTGAATATTATGTGAAATAATCAGTTCTCTTCTTGATTTACAAATCCTAAGATAATTTCATGAAAAATTCTAAATTTTTTTTGGTGGCGAGATCTTGACAATTATACTACATTTCAAATGAAAGATAAGCTGACAAAATGGCTAAGTTTTTCTGGAGATCCTGGATAAAGTGGGAGGAAAAACGTGGAACAAAATTCAAAAACATAAAAACAGCATTACTGGTTGAATGAAGACTATGGCCCGGGGATACACTTCAGGCCTGGGATAAGACTCACTCCCAAGGCCTTGTTCTCAGCTCAACAGTAGTAAGACTCACATGGAGAACACCCAACCCAGGCAATGCACCCACCTACTCTACAAAGATATACCTCTTGGAGTAATCGGCCACGGGGCACCAGTAGGGAGCATTCACGTGGCAGAAAAGCTGGACAGACAGGAGTGTATAACTAAGAAGGGCACAGGGATGGAGTAAGAGGGTCACAGAGAAGTAAGAGGAAGAGAATGGGTTAGGATTGGGGTTGCTTATCAGGGAGTGAAAACAAATTCTGCTCTGTAAATTTGCACCCAAAGCACAATTTAGGAAAAAAAAAAAAGCTAAGTTTTTGAAAAGGATAGAAAAGTGACATCTTGCTCTAGCAAACTAAAAATGTGTATAAGCTAAAATAATTAATATGGTATATTTATGATGTAAGAATGAGAAGACAAATTAATGTAACAGAAGAGAAACTTCTCTGTAACAACAAACACTCATATGCCAAACTCTTACAAGCATTTTTACCTATTTTACACAGTTCTCAAAATAACCCCAAGAAGTCAGTATGTTTTTGTTGTTGTTGTTATGTGCTGTAGGGCCGGCCCAGACTCATAGCGACCCCTCCTTGGATTTCCGAAGCAGTATCACTATGGAAGTAGATTGTCCAACCTTCCTTCCGAGGATTGGCTGGTGTGTTTGAACTGCCAGCCTTCTGGTTAGCAGTCAAGTGCCTTAGGCACTATGCTACCAGAGCTCCTAGTATGTTTTTAGCATCCCCCATTTACAGGTGAGGAATCTGTCTCACAGAGAGGTTAATGGACTACTTTAAGGTCACAGAGCTATTAAAGTGACCGCTGGGATTTGAATTCAGGCAGAAATTATACTGCTTCAGTAAGATTTTAAAATAGATACCAATAAAAAAGGAATTAGAAAACTATTTGGAAAAAATTTAGTTAGGTTTTTTCTTCACACCACACACCAACGTAAATTCTGGATGGATTAAAGAATTTTGTCAAAAAGATATGAAAGCAATTTTTAAAACTTAAAATACTTCATTACTTAAGTGATTCTGAATACGAAAAACTTCCAGACTGAACAACATAAAATGTAAAATATGTATCTGAAAATATGACAGAGAATCTGTATTCTTTATATATAAAGAGATCTTACAAATCTATTTTTAAAAAAACACTTACTTAAACTTTTTATAGGCTTAGTAGGCATCTGTAAGCCTGTTAGGAGCCCTGGCAGAAGAGCACTCAGGTACTAACCAAAAGATCAGCAGTCTGAACCCACCAGCCATTCCGCTGGAAGAAGATAATGGCAGCGCTGGAAAACTTATGGGGGCATTTCTACTCTGTTCTATAGGGTCACTGTAAGTCAGAAGCCACTTGTTAGCAGTGGGTTTATGACCCAGATTGAGCAGGAGCTTTAAGTTTTAAGAGACTAGATAATTTATTCATTTCCTCCAGAGGTGAACTAACTATATCAATTTATTGTTTAAGAACTATATCACATAGTTATAAATTTTTCCTAACCTTTGGACAAGCTGAAGATTCCATTTGTGATAAATCAACAGGGTATAAAAATCTGAGACACTAATATTTAACAATGTTGATCACTCTTCACAAAAACAGACATAAGTGTCTTCAGGGAGCATCACTTTTAAGATTCTGAGTAATTTTCTAGTTCACTTCTGAATTTGGCTAGACAATTTCTTTTTTCATTGTCCGTATCACTTATAATAAACTTACCAGTTTTTTAAAACATACGAACTCAAGAGTCCTAAAAGGACAATAATGTGTTATTACTCATTTACTTAGAAGCCTCAGCATGCCTAAGGAATGCTGACCATTGAATGCCTGGCATTTATATTTGTTCCAAGGCTCCCCTTAGGAATAATACTTGATTAAAGTCAGAACTTCCTGTAAGTATCCATTATTTATTAGTGTCAGGCTTTGTATAGCAATTCAGTTTTTGTAGCTAATGACAATTGTTAGGCCCATGAATAAACCAGATTCTATATTCCCGGTTCCTATCTTCTGCCACTAAAGAAATCACTAAATGAACAATCCAATCCGTATAATCAGAATTCACATTCCAACAGCCACTAACATGAACAGATAATTGATCATGCATAAATCAGAGTTTAGAAACAAAATTAGATTAGGCCAAGAATTAGGTAGGGTAATCAAGAGTCAAAAAGAGCTCAAATGCTACCAGTATTTTTTGGTGAGAGAATCCTAAAGGGTTCAGGTCCAGTGAGGTTCACTTTCAGACTAAACAGTTCTTAGTTCAGATGATAGGAACCAGGTGAGTTATAATATCTCAGTGAGACTTTCAGAAATAAGCTTGCAAAGAAAGCTTAGAAACATTTCATTAGTTATTTTAAATGCAAATTCATTTGTACAAAAGAGATCGGTCAGTAGTTGTTTAGGAACAAAAGCAAAAACAGGATTTGTAAAGAAGAGAGGAAAGAGCAAGCTGCAGGCTGTCTGGAAACAGTGAATTTCATTTACATGTTTTTGGGGTTAAACTGATTAGTTGGTATATAGCAAAAATATCAGTCTGGGCATTTTGTCCTTGGGTAGGCCAGTTAGGAGTATCAGAGAATAAAATTTCAGTTTTTTTGATTCTCCAAGAAATATAGAAAGTTTTGCTGCAAAGTGTAAGAGACTATGTAGTGTCTTCCAGTGTTCTTCCATTAGCACCTCCACATTATTTAGGCCAGCCCTGGAACATTATCTCATCAGAATTCTTTAGGTGGAGTTAACAAATGCCCAGGCTAAACTTTTCATCCTTATTCCTTTGATTTTGTTTACGTTTTAGAAGTCTGTGTTTGTTGTTTTTGTTGGAGGTATTATTTTGTGATACTTAAAGTTTTCTTTCTCTTTAATAGATTCCCTTCATACTAAAACTTACCTGAATTATGTGTTAATTCTATTTTTTGAGGCCAATTAAGTATTCTGTCAAATGTTCAACTTGAGCAATTATTTTAAATATCCAGGATGGACTCATAAATCTAAAATCAAGATGGCTTGGTGATGCTGTCTGACCAACTGAATGCATAATAAATAATATTCTAAAGTTAAATCTCTATCTTTTATTGAAGAATCTTTTATTAGAATATGATAAGCAGTCAGAGCAGTTGGATATGGAAAAAGAACATGCCAATAATTGTGAACATCATATAGAAGAACTTACCAAACAATTAAGAAATTCAACTGTTCAGGTAACTTTAAGTAAATGTAAAAATTAAAATTGTAAGAAGTGTATTTTAACTCTAAATATTTTTGCTTCAAACGTTAAAAATAATATATAACCAGAAACAAAATTTCTTTTTCTTTTGCCCTGTTGAGAGGAAGATAACAGCAACTAAAACAAGTAGCAAACATCTCATTTATTTCTCCAATCTAAGTTCCCCATTTTCCCTTTTCCTGTATTAGTAGTATTCGTGGTCTCTTAGAAGCTTTGCCATCTTAATATTGACAATGATAGTTTTTTTAAATCTCATTCTTGATTTCACATTGTCATTCTGCAGAATTGACTTTTAGGTATTTACCTTTCACACTATGCCTTAATACTCATTACTGTATTATTTCATTCTTCTGCTTCTGTATATATATATTCTGCGTATTTACAATAATGAATTATTTGTCATTCTAGTGTGAACAATTAAATTCTGATAATGAAGATCTCCTGGCTCGTATTGAGACATTACAGTCTAATGCCAAATTATTAGAAGTACAGATATTAGAAGTCCAAAAAGCCAAAGCAGTAGTAGATAAAGAGTTAGAAGCTGAAAAACTTCAGAAAGAGCAGAAAATGAAGGTAAAAACAGTCCTATGAGATTGATTTATTTATATATATTGTTGTTGTTGTTATTGTTGTTAGGCCTATTGAGTTGGTTTTGATTCATGGCAGCCCTGTGTACAATAGAACAAAACACTACTCGGTACTGTGCCATCCTCACAGTCATTGCCATGTTTGAGCTCATCATCACAGTCTCTGTGTCAATCCATTTTGTTGAGGGTTTTCCCCTTTTTCGTTCATCTTTTGCTTTATCTAGGATGGTATCCTTCTCCAGGAACTGGTCCTTTCTAACATGACCAAAATATGAGAGACGAAGTCTGGCCATTCTTGCTTCTAAGGAGCATTCTGCCTGTACTTCCTCCAAGACAGATTTGTTCATTTGTCTTGCAGTGCATGGTACATTGAATATTCTTCATCAGCAGCACAATTCAAATACACTCAGCTTTTCTGCAGTCTTCTTATTCATTACACAGCTCTCACATGTGCATGAGGCTGTTTATATATAGTGATGTTTTTATTAAAATATTATTTAAATGAAAAAATTTCAGAAGAGTAGCATTTATGATTGTTGTTGTGGTTGTTGTTACGTGCCGTCGAGTCAGCCCTGACTCATAGCGACCCCTCCTTGGGTTTCCGAGGCAGTATCACTACGGAAGTAGGATTGCCCAACCTTCCAACAGAGTTAATCTGTACTAATTGTAAATTTGAGAACTCATTCTATGATATGGGTCATGTTTTTAAAAAGATTTCCAAGCTTTTTTTTTTAGTGTGTCAGATTTATAGTATCTTTTTTAATGTTGGTGGTGGTTATGTTAAATTTTAGGAACATGCCAATGCTCTGAGTGAACTTGAAGAACTTCAACTACAACTTCAGAAGGAAAAGAAACAGCTTCAGAAAACTATGCAAGAATTAGAGCTGGTTAGGAAGGTAAAATAAAACCCCAGAGTCAAAACTCCAACATTCACATTGTTAAGTATTCTGTACACAATGAAAAGCAACATTTCAAAAAGCAAGTTAGTTGTAGTAATAAAATAATCATTTATGAATTCATAACTTCAAAATATTGAAAATTTAACTTATTTTTCTATGTACCTATCTTTCCAGAAGAATGTAGGAATTATGAGATTTTGATTTTCTATTTTGTTTCTGTACACGATTTTCATGTGAAAGGTGAAGATTTAATTAATCTCTAAACTTGAAGTTGTATTATAAGTACAACTTCGGCTAATTTGTCTCTACATTTTCAAAAACAAAGCTAAAAAGAAAGGTACTATAGAAGTCACTTGTAATATTAATATTTTGTAAATAAGAACCTCACAAGACTAGAACTGCCAATTATGGTTAACAAAAGTTATTATAGAATAGAATGAAACTAAGAAGATGGGGTTAACTATTAGAAAATGTTTTATTTTGAGAAATTACAAGTTAGAAAATATCTGACTTTTTCGTTACCTCATTAATGTGTAACTATTTTTATATTACAGTAGAAGATAATCAAATCTGTTCATTCTTGTGGCATTATTTTAGCATTTTTACAAATGAAATTAACTGATCTAGTATTTATGAATTTTTTATTTATTATATGTATAGGATGCCCAACAAACCACATTGATGAATATGGAAATAGCTGATTATGAACGTTTGGTGAAAGATCTAAATCAAAAGTTAACTAACAGAAACAGCAAGATTGAAGATTTGGAGCAAGAAATAAATATTCAGAAACAGAAACAAGTAACCCTACAAGAAGAAATGAGTGAGTAAAACAAAATTTATTTTAACTTAAAAGTAAATTAAAATAAGCAGGAATAGCCTGGGGACCTCAGGAATGGCAGGCTATCCAGGTAAAGGGGCGGGAGGCAAGGCAGGCCCCAAACCCCCTAGAGCCAGGAAGGGAGGGAGTGGCCAGAGACCACAAAGTGGCAGGTAAGGGGAGGGCACAGAGGTTTCCACCAGCTACGGGAGACAAACTTGTCTGTCAGATTGTCATCCTGTGGGCCTGTATGTTGCTGTGAGGCTTGAGGCTGTGCCACTGGTGTTTCAGACACCAGCAGAGTTGCACATGGTGCACAGGTTTCAACGCAGCTTACAACTAAGACATACTAGGAAGAAGGAGGAGGCCATCCACTTCCAAAAATTGGCCAGGGAAAACCTTATGAATAGCAGAGAAACACTGATACATTACGAGGCAACTTTATGAATAGCTTGAAAACATTGTCTGACACAGTGCAGGAGGACGAGCCCCTTGGGTCGGAAGGCACTCAAAATAGGATTGGGAAAGGGCTGCCTCATCAAAGTAGAACCAATCTTAATGATATGGATAAAGTAAGTTTTTCAGGACCTCCATGTGCTGACATGGTACAACTCAAAGTGAGGAGAAAGCTGTAACATCCATTAATAATCAGAACATGGAATGTACAAAGTATGAATCTAGGAGATTTGGAAGTTGTCAAAAATGAAATGGAATGCGTAAAGATTGATATTCTAGGCATCAGTGAGCTGAAATGGACAGGTTTTGGGCATTGGGAACCAGATAAGCATATGACCTACTATGCAGGGAATGACAAATTGAAGAGGAATGGCATGGAATTCATCATCACAAAGGATGTTTCCAGATCTGTCCTGAAATACAGTGCTGTCAGTAATAGGATAACATCCATAAGTCTATAAGGAAGACTCGTTAATACTACTATTACTAATATTTACATACCAACCACCAAAGCCAAAGATGAGGAAATTGAAGATTTTTATCAACTTCTGCAGTCTGAAATTGACCAAACATGTAAAATTAAGATGTGTTGCTTATCACTGGTGACTGGAATGCAAAAGAAGAAACAAAGAAGAATCACTGGTAGTTGGAAAATATGGCCTTGGTGACAGAAATAAAGCTGGAGATAGCATGATAGAATTTTGCAAAACCAACAACTTATTCATTGCAAATACCTTTTTTCAACAACACAAATGGCTGTACACGTGGACTTCGTCAGATGGAGTACACAAGAATCAGGTTGACTACATCTGTGGCAAGAGGAGATGGAAAAAAGCTCAATATATTCAGCCGAAACCAGACCAGGAGCAGATTGTGGAACAGACCATCAACTGCTCATATGCAAGTTCAACTTGAAGTTGACGACAATTAAAACAAGTACACAGGAGCCAAACTATGACCTTCAATACATCCCTCCTGAATTTAGATACTATCTAAAGAATAGATTTGATGCATTGAATACCAGTGACTGAAAACCAGAAGAATTGTGGGATGAAATCAAGAACATCATCCATGAAGAAAGCAAGAGGTCATTAAAAATATGAGAAGGAAAGAAAAGACCAAAATAGATGTCAAAACAGACTCTGAAACTTGCCCTTGAGCAAAGAATAGTTAAAGCAAATGGAAGAAATGACAAGATAAAAGAGCTGAACAAAAGATTTCAAAGAGCAGCTCGAGCAGACAGGTCAATTATTATAACTAATGTGCAGAGACCTGGAGTTAGAAAACCAAAAGAGAAGAACATGCTCAGGATTTCTCAAGTTGAAAGACCTGGAAAAAATTTAAGCCTCGAGTTGCAATATTGGAAGAGTCTATGGGCAAAATATTGAATGATGCAGGAAGCATCAAAAGAAGATGGAAGGAATACACAGAGTCACTGTACCAAAAAGAACTGGTCGATCTTCATCCATTTCAGGAGGTGGCATATTTTCAAGAACCAATGGTATTGAAGGAAGAAGTCAAAGCTGCACTGAATGAGTTGGCAAAGAACAAGACTTCAGGAGTTGAGGGAATACCCAGTGAGATGTTTTAGCAAATGGATGCACCGCTAGAGGAGCTCACTCAATTATGCCAAGAGATTTGGAAGACAGCTATCTGGCCAACTGACTGGCAGAGATCCATATTTGTACCCATTCCAAAGAAAGGTGATCCCACAGAATGTGGAAATTATCAAAGAATATCATTAATATCACATGCAAGTAAGATCTTACTGAAGATAATTCAAAAATGGTTGCATCAGTATATTGACAGAGAACTTCCAGAAATGCAAGCTGGGTTCAGAAGATGACATGGAACGAGGGATATTATTGCTCTTGTCAGATGGATCTTGGCTCAAAGCAAAGAATACCAAAAAATGTTAACTTGTGTTTTACTGACTGTGCAAAAGCATTTGATTGTGTTCATCATAACAAATTGTGGATAACATTGGGAAGAATGGGAATTCCAGAACACTTAATTGTACTCATGAGGGAGCTGTGCGTAGACCAGGAATATGTTGTTTGAACAGAGAAAGGGAACACTGTGTGCTTTAAAATCAAGGGAGCGCCGTATCTTTTCACCATACTTACTCAGTGTGCATGCTGAGCAAATAATCCGAGAAGCTGGACTATATGAAGAAGAACGTGGCATCACGATTGGAGGAAGAATCATTAATAGCCGGTGATACACTGATGGCACAGCTTTGCTTGCTGAAAGTGAGGATGACTTGAAGCACTTACTGATGAAGGTTGAAGAATACAGTCTGCAGTATGAATTACATCTCAATATAAAGAAAATAATCCTCACAACTGGACCTATAAGCAGTATTACAGTAAATAGAGAAAAGATTGAAATTGTCAAAGACTTCACATTGCTTGGTTCTACAATCAATGCCAATGGAAGCAGCAGTTAGGATATCAGACGACATATAGCACTGGGCAAATCGTCTACAAAGGACCTCCTTCAAGTGCTGAAGAGCAAAAAGATGTCTCCTTGAGGAATAAGGTACGCCTGACACAAGCCATGGTATTTTCAGTTGCCTCATATGCATATGAGAACTGGACAGTGAATAAGGAAGACCGAAGAAGAATTGATGGTTTTGAGCTGTGGTGTTGGCAAAGAATGCTGAAAGTACCATGGACTGCTGAAATAACTAACAGTTTCTGTCCTGGAGGAAATGCATCCAGAATGCTCCTTGGAGGTGAGAATAGCCAGACTTCGTCTCACATACTTTGGTCATGTTGTCAGAAAGGGACCATTCCCGGGAGAAGGATGTCATGCTTGGTAAGGTCAAAGAAAGAGGGGAAGACCCTCAACGAGATGGACTGACAGTGGTGACAGCGGCAATGGGCTCAAGTATAGCAAGAATCATGGAGCTGGTTCAGGATCAGGCATTGTTTCGTTGTGCTGTGCATAGGGTCACTATGAGTCGGAGATGACTTGATGGCACCTAACAACAACAACATAAGTAAGTAATTTTTTCATTATATTAGAATAGAGGGAGTGGTGTGCATTAAATGTTCATTTCACCAGTCTTGACTACTAACCATATGTTTTTATGTTGTTTATATTCCATTTTATCTATAAAATAATTTCTGATATAAGTATTTAAAGCCTAAGTTTCCCTTAAAATGCTCCTTCCCTACATCTCATAAATTTTGATACATTCCATTGTTTTATTTTAATTCAGTTCAAAACATTTTTTTATATTTACATTGTGATTTCTTCTTCGGTCCATTGGTTATTTCAAGGTGAGTTTTTAATTTCTAAATATTTATATATGATATGGTTTGCTGTGTTTTTCCTTGTTGGTACCTGCTTGTGGTTAATTGAACTTCTTGGGTATATGAATTTCCTGTAAGTTTTTTCAAGTTTTCACATTTTTGGCCATTATTTTTTACATAGTTTTTCAAGCCCATGATTCAATGGTAAAATTATTGCATCCACCACTCATGTGTCAGTGGAAGTTTGTGTTGCTGTGATGCTGAATGGGTTTCAGCCCAGATTCCAGACTTAAGACAAGCTAGAAAGAAAGGCCTGGCAATCTACTTATGAAAAATCAGCTAATAGAAGTGCTATGGATCACAGCAGTCTTATCCCATTGTACGTGAGGTTGCCATGAGTCAGGGCCCAACTCAGTGGAGCTAACAACAAAATCTTTTTCTAGGACCCTAAGTATACACATTAGACCACTTTTTTATAGTACCATGGGGCAGTGATGCTTTGTTCATTTTTTTTCCTCTCTGAGCTTTTTCTTGGATAGTTTACTATCCAATTTTTACTTGGATAGTTTACTATCCAATTACTTCTTGGATAGTTTATTATCTAAGACATTACTGTCTTCATTTCACTGATTTTTACAGTATCTAATCTGTTAATCCAATCCTATCTAGTGAAATTTTCATTTTAGATACTGTATTTTTCATCTCTAGAAGTTCCATTTGTTTTGTTTATTTTTTTATGTTTTCCATTTCTTTTTTCATTATGTTCAGGTTTTCCTTTAAATCTTTGGGCATACTTACTGTTTCAATGTCTTGTTTGCTAATTTCATTCTTTCTGGGTCTGTTTCTGCTGATTTATATTTTTTCTGATAATGGGTCACATTTTCCTGCTTCTTTGCATGGGAAACAATTTTTTAATTGGATGTGAATTTTACATTGTTGAATGATAGATTTTTCTGTATTTATTTAATGAGTGTTAAGCTTTGGCAAGTCGTTATTTATGAATCCTTTTGTTGCTTGTTTTTAACCTTTCTTAGGAGAAGTTTAGAGTAGCCTTTACTGTAGATCTAGTTCAATCCCACTGGTGAGGTGGGTTTTTGTTGGGTCTATTAAATAACCGTATATTCCATAAAGTCTGTCTACTCTGGTTGGTGGGACCTTGAAAAATTTGTAGCCTCCTTTGAGCTATGAAAACTGCTGAGATTACAGCTCTCTCCAGTCATTGTTCTTTCCTCAGCAGTTGTTCTTTGCCTGGCCTTATCAAATTTCATTCTGTGCATACTCAGATTG